GCACAGAGCCCGATGTGGGGCTTGAACTCACGAACCATGAGATCATGACCTGAGCCAAAGTTGGCCACTTAACCGACTGAGCCACCCAGGTGCCCCTTTCTTATCACATTTACAGAAGCAGTACATGGTCCTTAAAGAAAATTTGGCGAAATACTGAGAAGTAGAAAGACAGACAATTTTACCTATTTCCACCTTCAAAACAACTTTGCAAATGTGTCGGTGTATCTTAAGCTGTTATAAAATTTGCAAGTTTGTGGGAAGTGTCTTTATTAACATAGTTACAGTGATTGGATCAAATATGCTTGGTGGTCTGAAAGTCATACAATGAGGACAGGCACTGTTGTGTTTAGAATAAACTCAAAGCTCCGTTACATGAGCTGACCTGGTGTGGCCCTGCCCACCTCCCCCACCCCTTCCTAGTCCCCTGACCCTGATAATAAGATGCGGTCTCTTTCCAGCTCCTCTGCTTCAGCTGCAAGGTGAATAGTCCTCTCTGCTCCCATTCAGCCTCACCCCATGACAGCTACCTCAACCTGACCCCGGAAGTGCCTGGAGAGTCCACCCTGCCTCTAGAAGCAGGCATATCCAGTGACATCATGCTTAAACTGTAAGGTCCCACAGGCACCTCTGGTGGAGGTCCAGAGGAGAGAGAGCTCCACTCTGAGCCTCATCAACCAAGTGCTAGAGGCCAAGGCGGCGTCTGCCCCCAGGCCCCAAGCCACAGCCTCTTGGAACATTGATGCCTTACTTGAGATATTCTTTAGCTGCCTAGCTCAGCACTCAAACCTTCTTAGGCACTTATGAATCTTTATAAGCAGAAGTCCACTATTGTGGGTGAGGCAAAGTATATTTTATCCTCATTATTCACACAGTTGTATAAATTTGCCATGAGCACTGAATTAGCAAATACTGAACTGCTCCAAGGGAAAGTACAAGGCATACAGAGAGATACAGGGTTCCTACGAGCCTATGGTCACATTTTTATCAGCTGATTAATACACAACCTTTTGTGCATAAATGAACTATTTACTCCCCAGTAGGTGCCAGCCCCAATCACGTGGTTATTTCGATTACTCCTCAGAACAACCCAGAAAGGACACCATTTTTGGAGAAATGAAACAAGTAATCCAAGGTCTTTGAACATGGTCTTTTGGACCAAAGTGGTTATTAGGCACATACCAAGTATTCAGTGAATGTCACTTCTCTTCAGAAAGTCAATGGTCACTAGGGAACAAAAATACAATGCAGAACCCACCCTCACTGAGAGGCTTAGGTTCTAATCACAGATCTCTCAAGAAGAAAAGCAAATCCAGAGGTGCCTGGATGGCTCAGTCAGTTAAGTGTCCGACTTCAGCTCAGGCCATGATCTCGTGGTTCGTGGGTTTAAGCCCTGCATCAGGCTCTGCACTGGTGGTGCAGAATCTGCTTGGGATTCTCTCTCTCTGCCCCTTCCCGACTTGTGCTCTCTCTCTCTCAAAATAAATAAACTTAAAAAGAGGAACAGTGACTCCAATGTCCATCCTTAAACTTCTCTGTGTCCACTTCATTGTGGTGCTCAAAGTGAAAAGTGAACCAAAAATATCCCTGGTAATAAAGTAACAGTTGTAGAGCGCCATACGCTCTAGATAGTGCATGTAAAAACATGTGCCACATGTGTATTTGCGCGTGTTTATGTGCATGTGTGCCCACATATATATGGAGAGATTAACAGCAGATCCTCATGATTAACTACTGTAAACATGTTACCAGGATATTTCTTTCAGAAATACTTTGTGTACTCTGGCAATCCCATTAAACTTGCCACACACCAGTTCACCTGCTTTCCCAAAGTTAGAAACAAAAAGATAATTCTGTTAAGCTTTACAGAGATTTACATGGTCAGGACAGCAGAAGTGAATTAGGAGGGTGTTTTCTTGGGGCGCCTGGGTGGCTTCGTTGGTTAAGCATCCGATTTTGGCTCAGGTCATGATCTCACAGTTCATGAGTTCAAGCGGGGCTCTGTGCTGACAGCTCGTGGCCTGGAGCCTGCTTCAGATTCTGTGTCTCCCTCTCTCTCTGTCCCTCCCCACTTGTTCTCTGTCTGTCTGTCTCTCTCTCTCTCTCTCAAAAATTAATAAACATTAAAAAAAAAAAAAAGGAGGATGTTTTCTTCAAGTTGAAGGAGCTGAGAAGAAAAAAAATCCCATGGTAGTAATCAGATTGTTGGTACCAAAGAGAGTGACTCAGGGCGGGTCCTCAGCAAGCAGGTACTAAACTAGGATGGGCCGCGCCCTCAAGCATCAGAATAGCATTCTGTGATCAGAGGAGACAGGAATGCATCTGCTCAGGAAGCAGGGTAAGGCAAGGCTGTTATTAAGGCAATCTGGGCACAGCTATGATTACAGACGGGCCAACCTGTCAGAATGAAAAGAGAAATGTATGGCACCAGCTCCTGCCATGTAGTGAGCTTTTGCATGCCGACCTTGTGTGCAGATAGTATTATCTGGGCAGTACATGGACTCAAATCTTTGTGGGGAAAGCACCTAACAGTAAAAATAATAATTAAAAAAAATTTTTTAATGTTTATTCATTTTTGAAAGACAGAGACACAGCATGAGTGGGGAAGAGAGAGAAAGAATCCCAAGCAGGTTCCAAGCTCTGAGTCGTCAGCACAGAGCCTGATGTGGGGCTCAAACTCACAAATCCAGAGATCATGACTTGAGCTGGAGTCAGATGCTTGACCTACTGAGCCACCCAGGCGCCCTAAAGTACTTATCATTTGAAAACAAGATATCAAAGTACTGTATTTATATTTTATTACTCCAGTGTTAAAAAAAAAAGTCCACATAGGGAAAAGGCCTGGAAAGAAATCAATCAAGACCTTGTGGGTGAGGGTGTGGCCCTTGGACATGACGGGGAAACTAGAACTGAACTGAAGTCATGGAGCTGCCATATGAGCCCTAGACTTCTTACCTTCAGCTGACCTACGTTTATCATGTTTAATCCGAAAACCTTTGGAAAAATTCTAACAATAGTATTTAAAATACTAAGGTAGTATTTATGGACTTAAAATGTTTAGTTTATTATCGCTTTTGTCTGGTTTCCAAATATTTTTTATTAATTACTTCCATAATGAAATATGTATTCATTCATTAGACAAACCTTTACAAAGGGGTTAGTATGCACCAGACACTAAGCAAAGAATTGAGAGAGAACAATGAAAAAGATAAACATGGTCCCTGTCCTCGTAGAGATCTTAATCTAGCAAAAGAAATGAACACAGGACAAGTAATAAGCAGTAGTCACAGGCAAGTACAGGATGCTAAGGGAATACATGACAGAGGAGCATATGGTGTGGGGAAGCAGGCAGTCAGACAAGTCTTTCTGAGGCCATAAAGCAAGTTTCAACAAATTTCAAAAGACAGAAAATATACAGAGTATGTTTGCTAACCACAATACAGTCACCTCTCCAAATGATAGGAAAAGTTACCTTAAAAATACCCAGGGATGGGGCGCCTGAGTGGCTTAGTCGGTTAAGCGTCCGACTTTCGCTTAGGTCATGATCTCGCGGTTCGTGGGTTCGAGCCCCGCGTCGGGCTCTGTGCTGACTGCCAGCCCAGAGCCTGGGCCTGTTTCAGTCTGTGACTCCCTCTCTCTCTGACCCTCCCCTGCTCACGCTGTCTCTCTCTCTCCTAGAAATAAAAAAAAAAAAAAAAAAATTAAAAAAAAAAAAATACCCAGGGATGCCTCCTCAGTCAGAGGAGCATGTAACTTGATCTCAGGATCGTGAATTCAAGCCCATGTGGAATGTAGAGATTACTTAATTAAATAAAATTTAAAAATAAATAAGTTTTTACCAAAAAATCCATATGCTTGGAAATTAAGAGATATATTTCTAAATAACCCCTGAATCAAAGAAGAATTCAAAATAGAAATTAGAAAATGTTTGAACAAAAAAAGTAGGGGGGACCTGGGTGGCTCAGTTAATTGAGCTGCCAGGTCTTAATTTCAGCTGGGGTCATGATCCCAGGGTTGTGGGATCCAGTCCTGCCTTGGGATCTGTGCTGAGCGTGGAGCCTGCTTGGAATTCTCATTCTCTCTCTCACTCGCTCTCGCTCGCTCTCTCTCATATAAAAAAAAAGGGGGAGAGGGCGAATATTTAAAAAAATTTTTGAACAAAAATACTATATATCAAACTTGTGGGGGTAGCTAAAGCAGTATAAGAGGTACACATATACAGTTGACCCTAAACAACATGGGTTTGAACTGCACCAGTCCATTTATGGAGGGATTTTTTTCAATAAATACAGTAAATTCAGTAAATACAGAAAATACCATAAATGTATTTTCACTTCCTTTTGATTTTCCTAACAGTATTGTCTTTTCTCTAGTTTACTTTAATATAGTATAGAATACATATAGTATTCAAAATATGTGTTAATTGACTATGTTATCAGTAAGGCTTCTGGTCAACAGTAAGCTATTGGTTTAAGAGTCAAAAGTTATATGGGCGTTTGGGGGAGGGAGGGTCAGGATGCCTAATCCCACATTAATCCCACATTGTCCAAGGGTCAACTGTGTGTGTGTGTGTGTGTGTGTGTGTGTGTGTGTGTGTGCGTGCGCGCGCGCGTGCGCGTGCATGTGTGTGTGTATGAAACTCCAGAAAGGTAAAATTCATCTGTATTAACAGAAAGCGGTTCAGCGTTTGCCTGGGGTCAGGGTGGCGGAGTAGGAGGAGAAAGGGTGGAAACTGACTAGAAAGTGCAAGGTTTGTTAAAACTCCTCAAACTGTACACCTGAAATCTGCGCCTTTATCTGGATGTTAATTATATTAAACACTTTTTTAAGACTCAGAAGGAAGACCAGGAAAGAGGGAGGAGAGGGGAGGGGAGGGAGACAGTGAGTCCCAGCGTTTCCGCGCGCGCTCAAGGGATCAGGCACGCGAGGCGCGGGCTCGGGAGCCGAGGGCGAGATCGCACTGGATTACATGTGGGTGGCGTGCAGTTCCTCCTCTTGGACGCCAGGCGGCGGCGTGGGCCGGGAAGAGCGACGGTGACCCTGGGAGCGGCGGCGAGGAGGTGGGCCGAGCGCGGGACTCCATGTGGGCGCCGGCACGCAGGGTTGTAGCGCGGGGTCGCCATGGCGGAGCTGCAGCAGCTGCGGGTGCAGGAGGCGGTGGACTCCATGGTGAAGAGTCTGGAGAGAGAGAACATCCGGAAGATGCAGGTAGCGGGCGGGGGCCATGCCCGGGAGTCCCGGCCGCTCGCAATTCCCTTCCCGCAGCCGCGGCGCGCCGCTGCGCGTCTCCCCGCAGACCCCAGTCGGAGTATCCTTGGGGTCGCCGCGGCGCCCTCGGAGGCACCTCTCAGCTTCAGAATTCCTGGAGCTTCCGCCGAGCGGTTGAAATCTATGCTCCTTCCTCAGGCGCAAGGCCCTCCCCCCGCCCCGCAGGCCAGCTCGAAGGAGCGGGTGTTAGACCCCGGGCCAGGGTTAGAAAGCTCCCAAAGTGAAGCGTTCTGCCTCCCTGCTTGTCTTGCGCGACCCCTTCGTGACGAGGCCGAGGGCCGAGGCCCAGAAAGGGCATGGCCAAGGTGACACACCGGAAAGGCTGAAGCGCTTGGCCTCCTCCGTGGCCAGGTCATACCTGCCTCTGTGTCGCTCCACACAGCGCTGATTTATATGCCGTTCTGCTTTGATCCCCTGAGTGTTGTGTGGCTGTTAGTCCTGCCTCCCTGACCAAATTGTGGGTTTCTCTTGTAGGTGCCTCTGGAGTCATTGATTAATGGATCGGTTGCCCCCTGGTGGAATGTAGATTTCTAGGTTGCTGACCTCTGAACCCTGTGATATAGGTCCGGGGTTTTCAGAACTTGGCTTCATCTGACCCACCGCCACCTTCTCCTTACACCTAGCCTTCAATGCAACAAGTGCCAATGAGCTAGCAGCAAGAAGACCACGAAACACTCTGCTAGGCTTGGAGGATAATTTTCCCGTTTGTGGTTTTAGGTTCTTGATGTCTGTTAGAAGGGGAGGTGCAAATGTAGGCGCTCCTCGGTTGCACTCCATGGTTATCTCTGCCCCAGAGGCTTTCCTCCCTAACTTCTCTCTGCCCTCCCTCCTCAGGGCCTCATGTTCCGGTGTAGTGCCAGCTGTTGTGAGGACAGCCAGGCGTCCATGCAGCAGGTACACCAGTGCATTGAACGCTGCCATGCGCCTCTGGCCCAAGCCCAGGCCCTGGTGACCACTGAGTTGGAGAAGTTCCAGGTGAGGAACATCCCAAATAGAGGACTTCAGTCCTTGATATTGCTCTTTTGCAAGACATGACAAGTGTTTGTTCAAAACTCTTGGCTCAAATGTCTTGGTTCTTTTAATACTAGTAACAGTCCTGTGGCCAGCCAGTCTTCACAGAGTTTGAAATTTGTGAAAAACTCCTGGAGGTTGGGTGCTATCAGTATTTCCCATAGAAACAGTGTTGTAAAAGGGAGTTCATGATCAAAAGCCTTCCCCCCATAGATAAGAAATACAATATGTATACTGTATAGCATAAAGCTTTCTCAAACATATTAATTCATTCTTAAATAGTACAGTCCCCAGGAAAGTGAAGTAGGCTAGTCTTTTATTTATTTATTTATTTATTTTTTGATGTTTATTATTTTTGAGAAAGAGAGACAGAGAGCAAGCAGGGGAGGGGCAGAGAGAAGAAGACACAGAATCTGAAGCAGGCTCCAGGCTCTGAGCTGTCAGCACAGAGCCTGATGCAGGGCTCGAACTCAACAGACTGCCAGATCATGACCTGAGCTGAAGTCTGCCGCTTAACTGACTGAGCCACCCAGGTGCTCCCTCTACCTTTTTTTGTTTGTTTGTTTGTTTGTTTATTATTTTGAGAGAGAGAGGAAGTAGGCTAGTCTTAAAGAAGTACAGATTAGAGCAATATCTTGCCATCATTTTGTGTATTTGCCCACCCAAAACCGCTCCTATTTTCTATGTCCAAAGGGCAGCTCGTGTGTCACTAAAGAGCAGTCATTTCTATGAAGCATTAGTATTACTGATTCATCGATGCCTTCCCCACAAGCCCCTCTGAGGTCACTAAGAGCAAAAGGTATCCACCATTATCTCTCCCTGGCAAAAAGGATAGCCACAACTTCATTTGATTCCCTTCCTATGATTATACTTTCCTGGAGCTTAGGAGAAGCAGAGCCCACTTCTGAGCCAGTTTTTTCATAGCCAGAGATTCTGTCCACATGGGAAAAATTGTATCTAATGTATCGTTTTTACATTCTGTTATACATAATTCTTCAAAATTACTGACACTGTGAAGGTATAACTTGTCCAAGATCCCAAACTACAGCTAATTTTGTAGATAGGGTCTTTGAAATTTTGATTCTTGAATTGCTGTATAACTTTTTCCTTCTGTTTGATTATTGATTATTTGATTATTATCTCCTATACAATGAGATGCACTCTTCACTCTGCCAGAACTACTCTAGCCACTCCCCTGTATGGAGCTGAATCCAGTAGTCCTTTCTCATCCCTCATCTTACTCAACCTGTCTGCACCACTGACACAGTGATCACTCCCCTCCTCCTTGAAACAGTTTGTTTGGATGGGCACCAAGACACCTCTCTCTGGTTTTCCACCGGTCTCCCTGGCCATCCTTTCTTGGCCTCCTTTCCTGCCTCTCCCCTCTTGAACCTGTGAGCACGGGAGTGCCTAGGGCTGTCCTTGGACCTTTACTCTTTTGGATCTAGTTCTCTAGTGTCATCGCTGTGAATAGCTGCTATAAATATCATATGTAAGCTGAGAACTCCTGCATTCATTCATATCTCTAGACCAACTTCACTCCTGATCTCCAGATTCATATGTCCAACTGCCTCTTCAGCACCTCCACTTATTTTGTCTGCCTCCCCTCACTGGAATGTAAGTTCAATGAGGGCAAGAACTTCATCTGTTTTACTCATTGCTCTAGTCCCCAGCAATGAAGAGTACCTGGCACATAGTAAATACTCAATAAATACTAGTTGAGTGTTTTTCTGTAGCAAGGACAGATATTAAAGAATCAAAATGTCTCTAAGTCTATTTTTTTTTAATTAATATTTGTTTATTTTGAGAGAGAGTGCACATAAGCAGGGGAGGGAAGGAGAGACGGGGAGAGAGAGATTCCCAAGCAGGCTCCAGGCTGTCAGCACAGAGCCCAGTGTGGGCTCCATCTCACTAAGCATGAGATCATGACCTGAGCCAAAATCGAGAGTCAGGCATTTAACCACCTGAGCCACCCAGGTGCCCCAAAATGTTTGTAAGTCTTAACTGTATCTGACTAACAATAGCCTCTAGGCACTTGTCATTTCCTGGAAGGGGCTTCTGTACAATTTATTCTGTCATTCACCTGTTTTCTTGTAATGCTTTGTCTGGACCCTCCGGTGCCACCCTCTATTTCAGTCAGGGTAGTCCTGGTTAATTGCACTATAGTGTCCCTTTAACTGATCCAGATTATATATGTCAAGCCAAAACATGTAGCAAAGGGCCTACCACATGGTAAGCCCTTGGCAAATGAAGGCCAGCCTTTCAGCCTTCTCTACCCTCTTCCTTCTTGCCACAGGACCGCCTGGCCCGGTGCACCATGCATTGCAATGACAAAGCCAAAGATTCCATAGATGCGGGAAGTAAAGAGCTTCAGGTGAAGCGGCAGCTGGAGAGTTGTGTGACCAAGTGTGTGGATGACCACATGCACCTCATCCCGACCATGACCAAGAAGATGAAGGAGTCTCTCTTGTCCATTGGGAAATAGAAGTCTTTGCAGTTGGCCATCTGGGCTGACAGTAGGAATCTATTTAAAAAGAGAAATGGACGTTTTGGTCTTTTAAGTGAAGTTTATGAAGAAATTAAGGATGGCAGCAAGTTTGAGGCATGTGTCACTTGCCTCTGGACACTGGTTCCTTTATGTTCCAACCCTGGAAAGTGAAATGAAAAAACTTGGTGCTAAAATTTGGGTCAGAGATAGCACAGGAGAGTTTTTGATAGCCTAAATTTCACGTGCTTGTCCTGGCACTAGGGATCTCCCTTGTACCAAGCCAGAGCCCTCCAAGGTACCAAATTCTCCTTAGTATACAGTTACCAACAGGCTGGCAGGTACCTCTTAACCTTCTTGGGATCTGGTGGTATGAGCAGAGGTGTTTCTAAAAGGATCACTGAATCATTTTCAGTCGGCTGTAAAACAAAGTCCATGAGATCACTAATTTAGAATGGATAAAAGGTTTCAGGGTCTTTGTTTTCCTTGATTTTATTTTATATACAAGGGCATGAAGTTGATTTAAGATGTGGAGTTGGGAGAGGTAGTTTGGATAAGAACTTTCAACAGTTCTTATGGATATCTGCTTCAGCCAATGAAGATGTGGATATGCATTTCTTGAAAAACACATTACATCTTTCAGCTGGAAGACCCTGCAAAAACATGAGAGGCGATGTTACACTGGGTACGGGAAGCAGACCTTCCTTCTCATTGGCTGCCATGGTGGGCCCTGAGACTATCTGCAGCAGAGCGACAGGACAATCTTGCAGTGATACTCTCCCTTGTAGGGAAGCAGGGGGTTGATTGCACTATGTATCAGTATCCAGGAATGAACATTGAAGGAGGAACTGTTGCCTTCTTAATTAAGAGAATTATTAAGTACTGGATTTGGAAGAACCTGGTTTTTATAGAACAGAATGGAATGAAATCCTAAACTCAGTATTGCTTCTCTCTCCCCCTGAAATAACAGAGCCCTATTGAGCCAATCTCTAGGCAACAGGAAGGTCAAAGGAGATAAAGTAAGCAACTCAGGGGTGAGCTCTGTGATTCCTTTAAAGCAAAAAGAGGGGCAACCCCCCCCCATTACCAAATATCACTTTTGCTTGGGGCCTTTGCAGCAAGCAGTGTTCCTGCCCTAGCTCTAGCACCTTTTCATTTTGATAAAGACCTTATTGTCTTTCTACCATCTTACTACTTGAAATGATAATATAGCCTGTGTTTGGTGTTTTGAGGCTGTGATATATTTTCCTAGCGGTTCTGTTTTAAAAAATAAATAAGGTTTAGTTTTTCCTCCACTACTGTTTCTTGATGTATATCTGCAGTGAATATATATCTTTCTAGGATGCTTCTCTTTGTAATGTGAAGTAAGCTTCTTCAGGGATATGAGTTATAGTTCAGATGCAGGACTGGTTCATTGTAAATGGGAGAAACTCTGAGGGCAGGCTAAGGCACTATGACCTAAAGTCCATTAATATAAAAAGAAACTGTCTATAAGGCTAAAAAAAGAAATTCAATGTCTATTTCAGGTCTCTAGCTTCAATTCTACAGTAACAGCAAGAGGTGGAGGGTAAAGAACCCTCTTGAGAAAATGCAACGCCTAGGATGTTGAGTACCAAGAGTACAAACTATGTGATGAGTTTAAGTCTTTACTATCATTAGCATTTAAATAGATCCATTCCTGAACATTAGAAATGAATTGAATTTTGGAGAATCATCCCCTCCCCTACCTAGAATCGCCAAGGCTTTTCTGTTTTGGCCTAAGTCTTCTGCAATTCCAATTTTATTTATCCATAAATGTGTATTCCTCTGTTTTGGATAACCTAACTGGGAGCAAGTCGGAGATCACTTTTTACACTTAAATTGGTATTTTAGTCAAGAGTGTCTCAGAAATCGCTCACGTTTTTTTTTATAGGAGCAAGGTATATTAAGTGGAGTTCTGGAAGCATGGTTACAAGAATTGCAGGGCTGTCAGTAGGAAATACACTTCCACACTATAGATTAAAGTTTTTAGAAAGAGGCCAATCACCCAACTTCTCTGGTGTCCAGAGGTCTCTAATTGATGTTACTGAAACCCTGGGCTTAGCGTGACAATATGCAGGAATACACGTCAAAGAAATAATAGGAGCCCACTTCAGAATCTATATTCACTTAGTGTATTGAAGATAACCGAAGCAATGCACAAAGAAGGGGATTAACCGGTTCCGCCTAGAAGCTAGAGACGGAACCGTACTGCCAACTTTATAAAGGAGGAAACCGGATTGAGACAAGAACTTGAGGCCCCCACCTCTTCGCCCCTTCTTGGCCAATCGCTGGCGACGCAACCGAAAGCTTGAGACCGATAGGCGAGTTACGGCTTCCCCTAAGCCCTAAGTATCGCGAGGTAAAATGTGAAATCCGCCAACAATACATTGGCTGGCAGGACTGGTGACGTCAGACGCAAAACGCCGGGCCTAACGCGGGAGCGTGAAGGACGCCACGAATTCCGTTTGGAGGCATCTTTGAGCTCGCGGAGTAGACATCATGAGCAAAGCGCATCCTCCTGAGTTGAAAAAGTGAGTATGTGAGAGGGCTGCGTGTAAGTAGCAGCTTCGTGCTTCGAGTTCCTTAGATCTTTCTTCATTTCCTCCAGTGTGCCTCGTGTGCGTGTTGGAGCCGAGGCCGCGGAGAGCCTGGGAGCGTCTCGCGCCTCCGTGCCTGAAGCCCACGCAGACATCTCGTTTAGGCTTGGTCTGCATGGCTTCGTTACCAGAGACGGACAAGGCGCCTCTGTAGTGCCTTCTCGCCTCCCCAGCTAGGTTTTCCGGGCCCACGTCTCCCAACGCACTCTCTCACGCTCTTTCTCCTTTGCTTGGAGATCTGGAGTGCCATCCTTTGTTGAACATCTTGAATAGCGTTAAGTTCTAGATAAGGTGGCTGGAGAGTGTATATAGAACTAAGATGGGCAGAATGGACGTGTTTAATAGTGTATGAGGAGTCAAAAGCAACTTTTTTTTTAAAGTTTACTTTGAGAGAGTGAGCACGAGGTGGGAGGGACAGAAGGAGAGGGAGAGAATCCCTCCTAGCAGGCTCTGCATTTCCACACAGTCGGAGCCGGGCCTCCAGCTTACCAATCCTGATATCATGACCTGAGCCGAAACTAAGAGTGGGATGCTTAGCCTACTGAGCCACGCAGGCACCCCCCTATAAAGCCATTTCAGTTTTCTAGTTTAGAGCTGTGTCTTTGAGGTTTTGTTTTGAGAGAGATGTAAGCAGGAGAGGAGCAAAGGGATAGAGAGGTTCTTGAGCAGACTCCACCCCCAGCACCGAGGAGCCTGCTGGGCTCCGTCTCAGGAGCTTGAGATCCTGACCTTAGTAGAAATCAAGAGTCCCACGCATAACCGACTGGGCCACTCAGGTGCCCCAACTGAGCTTTGATTTGGAAATCCCATTCCTTTCTTTTGCTTTCTTGTGCTTAAGTTAAATTTGAATGCCATGTAATAACTGGCTCTGTTACCAGCTGTGTGAGAACATTTTTTTCCTATCAGAGAAAAAAGACTAGATTTTTTTCCCCTTGCACCCAGTAAAATGAACTCAAAACAGGATATTCCTACTTAAGATAGGCCCAGTTTAAAGTTTTAACCTCCTCAAACGCTCCTGACTGAACCTAATATGTTTCAGGCCTCCTAAGTCTGTCTCTATACTGTTTATACCATGTAATGCCAGAATTCTGCACATAGGATACAAAATTGAATCAGGGATCAATTTGGGAGAAGGCCATCTGGCCTCTGTATAGTTCATTTATTACCGGCTCCATAAAGAAGTCAGATTTAATTGAAGGGTCATATTTACATTTAAATGCATATTTGTATCAGAACCATTTTGTGCAAAAATTAGAATTTTTGCCTAACTTCAAGAAAAATCGAAATTATTGTGAAAATGCTGATCTGAAACTTCTTTTATTGAGCTGTTAAAATCTTACAAGTATCCTGGATTCATCAAGAACTGGTGAAATGGTGATTATTTTTTATCAAAAGAGCCGTTCTCTATGTGTAATGTTAGATTTCATATTTGAGAACTCATCTTTACATTTCATGTATTGTGAAATTCTTTGAGACCTGCCTCCAGAATGACCTTCGGGTTTTTTTTCCTTTACCATCTCATAAATATCTTTTACTCTTTTATGCCCTCCTCCTGGTTTAGCTTAGGTCAACCAGGTTCTTAACTAGGGGGTAGGGATTCTGGTTCTGTTGGCAGGCATCTAGTGAGTAGAGACCAAGGATGCTGTTAAATACTGTACAATGCACTGGACATCCTTCAACAAAGAATTATCTGGCCCCAGATGTTAATAATGCAGAAGTTGAGATACTGAGACCTAACCAAATTCCCCCTCCCACCTCTTAAAAATTGCTATCACATGGGGCACCTGGGTGGCTCAGTCGGTTAAGCATCCGACTTCAGCTCAGGTCATGATCTCACGCTCATGGGTTTGAGCCCCGCGTCGGGCTTTGTGCTGACAGCCAGCTCAGAGCCTGGAGCCTGTTTCAGATTCTGTGTCTCCCTCTTGCTCTCTCTGACCCACCCCTCGTGCTGTTTCTCTCTTTGTTTCTCAGAAATAAATAAAACATTTTAAAAAATAATAATTTATCGCTGTCTGCATGCCAAAGTCCTGAGTTCTTGCCCCACATTCAAACTCCTCCATCTGAAATCCAGGTACCAAATACTACACGCACTAATATTTGAGTGCCCCTTCTCCAGCCCAGATGAACCATTTGCATTTGCTTAAACTTTCTCACCTGCTCTGTGATCTTGGGCAATTTACTTAACCTTTCTGAGCCTCAGGTGCTCATCTATAAAATGGTGGTAAGGGGCGCCTGGGTGGCTTAGTCGGTTAAGCGTCCGACTTTCGCTTAGGTCATGATCTCGCGGTTCATGGGTTCGAGCCCCGCATCGGGCTCTGTGCTGACTGCCAGCTCGGAGCCTGGAGCCTGTTTCAGTCTGTGACACCCTCTCTCTCTGGCCCTCCCCTGCTCACGCTGTCTCTCTCTCTTTCCTAGAAATAAATAAAACATTAAAAAAAAAAATTTTTTTTAAATGGTGGTAATAACAATATATAACCTACAAAAGTTATCGTAAAGATTAAATAATACACAGTATGCTGCATTGTATATAATATCCTATTAAAATTACCATACTAAATATTTTTATTTGTAAGCGTGTCTTCTCACATTTTTTCAGGCATGTGTCTTATTTATCTTTAAAGTCTTCCATGATATGTTCTACATTAAAATTGCATGAAATTTCATATTTCATAGCCTGTAACTCGAAGAGGTAAAAACTGGTTTGACTACATAGCTTAGTATTCTCATAATATCATGCTGAGATGGGATTTCCCTGTTTAATTCAGATTTTTTAAAGCTTCAAGATAATGTATTTATTTTGCTAAAAAGCACTTGTGTTGAGGAATATCTTGAACGCTTAAGATTGATGCTTAATATTAAAATAACACTATTGTCTCAAATATAAAATAGCTATTGAATTGGATATAGTTTTATTATCCTCTGGTTTCCTCACAGCTTGGGTTTTGATAGTAACCAAAATCTAAATAAATCCTTGTTTCTATTATAGCGATAAAATCCAGTCATCAAGGGGTGCCAGGCTGGCTCAGTCAGTAGAGCATGCAACTCTTGATCTTGGAGTTGTGAATTAGAGCTCCATGTTGAGTGTAGAGATTACTTAAAAATAATTATTTTTAATGTTTGTTTATTTCCAGGGAGGGGCGGGGGAGAGGATCCTAAGCAGGCTTCATGCTGACAGCCATGAGCCCAGTACAGGGCTCAAATTCACAAACCATGAGATCATGACCTGACCCAAAGTCAGACAGACTCATCCCACTGAGCTACCCAGGAGCCCCCAAAATAATTTTAAGACCTTTAAATACAATAAAGTCCAGTCATCAAAACTTAGGTCAGTATTGAACAACAAAAATGTTTTTGTAATTTGTATTAGTATAAAGATTTATTTGATGTACATTAATATATTCTAAATCCATTCCATTTTTTATCTTGCCCCTTCCTAAATTATATTGCTCTATGCAAGTGCTAAATGAGGTAGCCCTTTATTCCCTCCTCCTCTACAAGAGTACAAGGTTTTTGCTCTTTTAAATTTCATTATTTTTATTGTCCAGTTTTATCAAATTATATTGACTGTACTTTTGTGCTTATTTATGCTTAAATTTTTTTAATCATTTATATAATTTTACCCCTTTTGCTTTTTCAGATTTATGGACAAGAAATTATCATGTAAGTTTTGGGAGGGT